GTTTCTCTGTGGCTTTGGAGGCTGTCCTGGAACTAGCTCTTGTATACCAGGCTGGTCTCAAACTCACAGAGATCCGCCTGCCTCTGCCTCCCGAGTGCTGGGACTAAAGTTCTGGAAAGTGATCTGCTTATCCAAAGAGCTGACTTGCATTTAATGGGAAATTGCATTTAATGAGAAAATAGAATTCCTGTAGGCTGGGGCTTGAGGAAGGAGGATGGGCCATATCCCAGGACTGGAGTTTCACCCATCATCCAACATCCAGACACTGCTTCCCTACAACTGCCCCGTGTTTTTTTTGGTCACCTCTGATTCTCAGATCTTGGTGTTTGTCCACCGTTCTCAGGGCTAGCTGTGGCTAGAAGGGCCAGAGCTGCAGAAGGCCCAGAGTGTGCAACTCTGTTCTGTTTGTTTCCTTCTCTCTGTTTTGTTTTAAAACCAGTGGGGTGAGGTCTTCCCTAAGCAGTCAAGAGTCCAGCCAACTCCTTCCTGCCCATACTTTCCATTGACAAGTTGGATTAGAGACACCTTATAGACAGCCCCACCGTCTCTGGGCCATCCTAACAGAAATACAATTTTAAATTAACTTTTAGGGTTAATCAGAGGACTCATAGTAGACAGTCAATATCCTGAAATGTATCTGTCCCAGGTTGTCTGGGGTTCTGGCATATTCTGCTGCCTTGATTGGCTGCACCTAAGAGCACTTTCCCCAGGTCTAAAACATATGATGACTTAGTTCACATGTGGAGATTGACCGCATTTGTCATTCATGAGTGACTCCCCAATAAATAGCTGGCTTCCCTTAGAGAGAAGAGAGAGAGAGAGAGAGAGAGAGAGAGAGAGAGAGAGAGAGAGAGAGAGAGAGCAAGAGCTTGCTCTCAGTCCAGATATAGCACCTTAGGACCCCACCCACAAGGGGCGGGTACCTCAAAGACTATTGGCTAAATATGTTCCCACAACAAGTTTCATCTCTTGACTGGCTGTTGTGGGATATTTGTTCACTGTGTGACGATATACTGCTGAAAGGCCAATAGCTAGGCAGGAGGTGTAGGCGGGACTTCTGGGCAGCGAGGGAGGAAGAGGAGGGGAGAATCTAGAGAAGCCAGGCAATGTGGGGAGGAAACAGGAGATACAAGATGAAAGAGATTTCTTCCTATAAACATGTACAATGCATAAAGCAGATCAGAAGCTAATCTGTGCTCTTTACTGTAGGGAGCTCAACTGTCCTGAAAGAGAGGAAAATAATCTTCATAAACCCCAAACTAATTATTTTATGGGCAAGAATGGCTGCCGTGAAATTGATACCGTGATCAATATTAATACTAAAAACATTATAGTTTAATGAAAGGGGTCAGGAAAATGGTTCAGTGGGTAGAGTGTTGGTTGCTCAAGTCTGAGAGCCGAATTCAAATCCCCAGTACCACAGAAAAAGCTGAGTGTGGCTGTGCACACACTTATAACCCTGTTCGTAGGGGATGGAGACAGGAGGATTATTGGGGATTACGGTTGGCGGCCAGCCAAGCTCTAGGTTCAGTGGAAAATACTGTCTCAAGGGAATAAGACGGAGAGATTGAGTAGGGTGTTTGATGTCTTCCTCTGGTCTCTACACTTGCCTTTACACACATGTGCGCAGACCACACATGTACACCACCCACATTAAAACATAAAAGCAGAATAAACACAATTCTAAGTGCTTTATACGTGACTAACTTAATGTTTACGACAAATCTGTGAGAAATGACTAGAATAGTTCTTCTCTGTCGGTGGGAATACATTCCAAAGCCTCCTTGTGCCTGAAGTCTCAGAGAGTACAAACTTCTGTTCATACCATGTATTTACCTATGATAAAGCTTAATTTGCAAATAGGCACAATAAATGATGAACAATAACTCACGACAAAACAGGACAACGGAAGCAATATACCTTAACAAGTTATCTAAAACTTACAAATTGCTTATTTCTGCAATTTTCCCATTTAATATTTTTGGACTGCTGTTGGCCATGAGCCACTAAATCCACACAGTCAGCAAATACCTGGATAAGGGCAAACTGTTTACTATTATATAATTATACTATTACAACATATATTATAAACAAATCCTATAGTATATAATATACACAATGTATAATGTATTACCTTTATTACTACCTACATTTGACAAATGACAGAGAAAGGGGATAACTGTTCTGCCTGGTATTTTCCAGCTAATAAGTGGAAAGCTTGGCCTGGAACTCAGACAACCTATTTTCTTGACTATTACAGTCAAATGCCTAGTGACTGCATTAGGCAGGGCTGCTGAGTGGAAAATATTCACTTGTCAGTCCACCTGAGTGGAGCCCTCATGCTGTACAGAGCACACAGAGACTGGACAGAGGCTTCTGACAGAGGCCTGGAGGGTCCTGGACTAGTTTCAGGTTATTTTGACCCTAAATTTCCTTTAGGAGAGCATTCCAAGTGGGTGCTCCCAGAATGAGACTTATACCCCACTGACAAACACTTCTAAGACATCAAGTCTATTTGGGAAGAGGTGGATGAAAGAAACTTGAGCAGTTCAGTTCTTTTCCTGGAAGGCCTCTCAGGTGAACCGGTATGTTGACGTTTTCTGACTCCCCTGCTCTCCCCCACTCCATAGACAACAAACTTATCTTGATCAACATATTGACCAGTAATACTGCTCTGAAGAGGTGTTGTGGGGAATATTTTATACTTGGGAAATGCTTGACATTTAATGGGATGCTGTGAACTCAGCCTTTGTCTAGGAGGCTACTGGTCTGCTGCCAGTCTCCAGAGGCATATGGGAAGGGACGGAACATGAAGGGAATGGAAGGACCCAAGTCTGGAATCCGGGTGCCCCTGTCCCCCGGCTCCTCAGTGTGCTGAGTAAGGCAGATGTGTTGGTGGAGATTCTTTCCTGCCTGGGCCCCCAGCCACCTTCTTTAGCCCCAAATGAACACACAGATGCCGTATTGGTTATAAAAACTGTTGGCTGATGACTAGGGCTTCTTATTGGCTAGCTCTGTCTTGGTTATTAACCCATTTCTATCAATCTATGTATTTCCATGTGGTCTTATCTTACTGGAG